TGTGTGTGTGTGTGTGTGTGTGTGTGTGTGTGTGTGTGTGTGTGTGTACGCCCATATGGATGTCTGTATGTGTGTTTTGTGTGCTTCTGAGGGTATTTGTGTGTGCGTGTGTTTTGTTGACAGGGATTGCTGAGGAAAGGCCCGCTGCTCCAGAGGTGGCAGACATCTAGTGGTCTGTCAGTCTACTGTGTGGGAGATGACAGCTATTTGTATAGAAGAGTGTATGCAACGCTCCAGTCAATGAGGAGGTACTGTGTTTTGATGGAGGGTGGGATGACTTCCCACTGACTAATGCTGGACTATTTTAAAATGACAGACAGAATTAGCTGATGCATTGCACTGACAGATCAGAAATGTAAATAATATTCAGGAAGAAAAAATAAATAAATAAACAGATGCCATGTTGTTTAGGTTTAGCTGCTCCATTAGACGGTAAACTTTATTTGTTGTTACTTCGTTTTTTGACGTGATTCCTTTTTCCAAATACTAAATGTTCCACTAAAATCAGCAATATGGTTATCTTGTGCTTGGCAATAGGTTGTACAAATTGTCAGATTGGGGGAAAGTCAAACTCATCATTCCATTGTTTCCCACACATAATCAAGATCTGACTGGATTACAGTATGGAACAACTATAGTATATATGAAGCTACCATAGGGAAAAAAATGTCTAAATACACACAACAGTTAGAATGAAATGTTTGTTTATAGTTTACCTGTGCAATTTGCCATCAAAGTTATTTATTGTGTAAAGTTAATTTTTGTATTACATACCAGAGAAATGTTGTATGTACACTGAAGTGGTTAACATGTTGATTAGAATATGTCAAACAAGAGTTTCCTCACCATGGGCATTTTCAAAAACGGCTAAGCCAAGGACTTGAAAAAAAGGTCTAATAATTATTTAACATTCGTATTTGCACAGAAAATATGAGTTTTGAGTGTATGTAGAGGAACTTCCTTCACTTTAAACTTATTAGTTGACTGTTGGGTCTCAGGTGATTATTTTTTTTCTTCTCACCTCCATCCTGGGTTAGAAAACAGTGGAAAGGCAAGTTTGGTTTATCCCCTTTTGCCAAGCACAAGATAAGATAACATTTCACTGACGGATCATATTGTAGGGAAAAAATGTTGTACTTTTAACAGAAATTACATGAAGTAATTAAGTGAAGTTTGGCGTCCAATAATGCAGCTAAACATCTATTTTGCAATTCTCCGACATACATTGTCCATCATCCTATCATTGCTTGTGAACGACTGAGCCTTTCGGGGATGCTCCCTTTATACCCAGTCATGACATTCACCTGTTTCTAATTAATCTGCTCACCAGTAAGTAGAATGCTCCAAACAGGTGTTTTGGAGCATTCCTCAACTTTCCCAGTCTGTCGTTGGCCCTGTCCCAGCATTTTTGGAAGGTGTTGCTGACAATATTTGAAAAACAAAAAGAACAAAAAATGTTTTTTTTTCCCTTTGAACATTAAATAGCTTGTCTTTGTGGTGTACTGAATTAAATATAGGTTGAAATAGATTTGCAAATCATTGCTCCTGTTTTTATTTATGTTTTACAAAATGTTTTCATTGGAACTGGGGCTGTAATTGAAATCTGCAGTTCAACTAACTTTCAAAAGTGGTAAACCAAGCTGACCCACAATCAGCAAATTAAGCGTCATTACATGGATCAGACAGGCTTCTTTTTCACTACCTGTGTGGTAAATGGTCCTTAAGGGGAGAGCATTATGAATATCACTTCTCTGACTGCAGTAGGGCAAAGAAATAAGGTTGACTAACATTCATTTTCACTTGGAGTGCTGGAGAGCATGGCAGGTTAACTAGGTGCCTTTTAATAATGATCCCATTACGAAGCAGCAGATGACTTCAGAAAAACAGATGTCAGTGCTCTGGCACATCTCTGTGGAGTTTCCACAACTTCTGCAGCGCACAATGATTCCACTGTTTTTTTTTTTTTTTTTTTCTGTGCTGATTTCTAATTCGCTTGTTCTATTTTCCGTGGCTTTTTCCTGTCTCAATGCGTTTCCAACCTTGATGCTCAGCCAGCGCATACACCTGTTTATCTTCCGGACAACCAGTCAACCAGTCACAAGGGCCCTTTCTGAAAACCCCTTTAATTGGAAGCAGACACACTGAAGACAATAAAAAAGCCTGAGTGTACCTGAGGTACTGTGCCTTTCAGTTTTGAGTAGGCATACAACCGGAGACAAAAAAAGGAGCTCCATTTTTAAAATGGTAGTTCCACTAGCAGCTGATTTGAAAAGGCAGAACACACTGACCTGAATAGACAGATGTGAGGGGAAAAAAAAGAATAACTGCAGTAGTTTGAAATCAATGTATTATTTATGCATGAGTTAGTTGAGAGTGGAATTTGTATCAATGGTGGCTTGTCTAAAAACATACGGGGAAGTGCAGCCGCTTATTGGAGTGAAGGCATTCCAGTCAAGCTGTTCCTTTCCGTCAGTCTGTATCCTGGTTAATTATCCTGTCACGGTGATAACACGTGAGAGTCAGCGCTTCTAGTGTTGATTTACGGCGGCGTGCAGGGAAAGGCAACGCACGGCCTCTGAGTCAGACCCAAACCAAGCGAGAGAACAAGGCAGTGAGAGCTGTTATTAATGAGGTCGCTATAATGTGAATTAATGTGCGAGTGCACAACAGTCTTTAAAGGTTAGACTGTTGCCATGTGGAGGAGAAAAGAAGGAAGGGAAAATCTTTAAAGGTCAGAGCAAGTGCTCTGCCTGGGCCAGTCGAGTGTTTATTACTTCGCTCTATTGATTTAGTAATGATGATGACCACGGTGAAAATGATGATGATAGCAAAGATGCTGATGATAACTTCATAAAATGGATAGAGCTCATCTTCAGTCTCTATAACTAGCTTAGGATCTTGGAGCACCATAATTAGGACACTAGTAAACACTTCCCACAGATGTCCCCTGTGGAAATCATTCTGTAGGCCTAGATTACAAAAATATGAAAAATTAAAGAATAAAGGGGGTCAATGTTCTGCTACAAGATGAGCAGCATGAACAGTGCAAAAAAAATACATAAGCCATCTTTTATGTTCACAAGTACAAGGCATTGTACACTTAAATCTATCAAACAAAGACTCACAAGAATTTTCCAGGAGTATTCTAGGCAGGTGGCAGTCTCCATGCAGCAACATTCGCAGCAGCAACTTGGGGCTGTATCCTGGGTCAGAGGTCAGCAGTCTCAACTGGCATGCCAAGGCTGCCTCACTCATCAGGCCATCACTGGGAGAGATGAAAGAGCAAAGGAGGAGGGAGGAAAACGTTGACAGTTCTGCAGTGTCAGGTGAGTTTTCAGATAGAAGTCTATTTAGCAAGAGACCACAAAGATGGAAGAAGACTTCACAAGTCAAAGAGAGCAACGGAAGTCTTGGATGACAGTCTGGGAGGTAACAACTGGGGAGTAGCTACAAGGATCCGTTGCTTCAGTGTCACTCACTCTGTATAAATTCAGAGTCTAAAAATACCTTCATCCTTGCTTACTTGTAGCTTGCACCAGGAAGGAATTAGCTCTAATCTTAGCCAGCTAAAAGCAAATTAACATTTGGGAGACGGCCAAATACATGAATATACAGCAATACCCCCCTCCTACATCTTTTGTATAACCAAAAGGCTGCAGCCAGCTGTGAGTAATGAGCCGTATCCTTGGTGTGTCTAAATGTACGAGTGTGTATGTGTGTGTGTGTACTCTTCAGAGCCTCTGTTTGTGGTTATGTACAAGTGCAAAGTGCGAGAGCACGCTGACATGTGCGCCTGCATGTTACTTTATACATCTCAATAAAATCTAATGGAAAGAGTGGTCAGAGTTGGTCTTAAGAGAAAGGAGGCGGGGGGGGGGGGGCACAGGGGGTGTCTGCCCAGAAATTAACCATTCCATCTGAGCCAAAAGGCTCAAGCAGAAAGCACCCTGCTGCTTGACTGAAGAAAACTATGCCTCAGTCTGACAGCACAATTTATGATGTCACTGGGACTGCAAATCCATAAGAAATCCTCCTTTAACAGCACTGATAAATCTACAGTGCTGGGTCAGCTTACAAAAAAAAGGCAAGACACACAGATAGAAGCATAAACACACACACACCCCCACCCACACACACACACACACACAC